AAGAGATCAAAAATCCATTTAAAATCAATGTAAAATTAATTCACGCTAAACGCTAAATAAAATATAACGGTTCACGGTAAATAAACAGATGCTTTCACGATAACTCTAATTTCTATCACGAGTCACTTCAATCAAAATATCACGTCGGATGCTAAAATGAAATCGATTTTCGCGCTAACGTTAAAAAATACGACCATTTCACAGACTCACACTAAATCCAATCGGGACCATCTTACTTGTGGCTAATGTATTGCGATAAAAGTATATGCGTAGTAGCCGAATTTTGCTTGAATGCTGCAAACAATGTAATTAGCAAGTTGACTAGACATGCATGTATAGGCTCATGTTTGTGTAAATTACTGTTATGTGACCTATTTGCATTTTCATGCTCTAGTCTGCAGAGTTGACAATATATACGTATAAATTGTATCGTGTACTACTAAAAAAGTAGGGTCCATCTCTACATAAGTTTTTATATTTGGAGTAATATTATGTGTTGTTTATCAAATGTTCAGATTCTACGAACAACAGTCAGCTGTTGGCGTTGCGTCAACAAGCTCTGTTCAAGCAGCACTGACTTCGACACCCATGGGTGCCGGACATTTGGGGCGGTTTCCTGCTGCGACCACTGCACTCTCGGATGTATCATCAATAGGCAAAGAAAGGTATCACATATTATAAATAATAATAAATGTAATAAGTTAACAATGTTATTGGTTTGCTAAGTCGGTTGTCAGAGCGAGTAATATTATCCATTGTTTGTCAAATGTAGTGGCTTAATATAACTATTTAGAACTTACACAGTAGATCATTGCTGCCTTTATTAATTGAACTGCGTACACATGTATACCGACTTTTGAACCAGCTGCTGTTTTTCTGATCACCGCAGTGAGAGAACCATTTCGGGCATAGAGGCTGTTCAAGAAAGTGCTAGTAAGGCTGAAAAAAGGTGAGTAACAAACACGTTTTTAGAGACAGGTTTTGAATTGCATGTAAATAACAGAACCTAATTTGTACATTCTCATTCATTCGGCTCAAACTAACTACATTTTTACTTCACAAATAACAGCAGTGAGCACACAGTATCAGCAGTGGAGAGCATACTGGAGACTACTATCAAGGGTGGTGTAGCAAGGTTTGTAACCAAAACAGGCACTTTTGGCAACACATTTGTATTCACAACTATGTCTTGCAGCTGGTTGGAAGCTTCATGAACTGTGTTTGTAACAAAATTTGTTTGTTTTGAAGCATGATTACGGCAATTGTACACAAGTTAAAATTAATACAGTTTTGTTAGTATGTTGTTCACATAATTTTTTGATGACAGCCTACTGCAGTTTCAAATGACAACAGCGCTATATGCCATTATCCCGTGTTTTCCAGTCGGCAGCCATCGGACGTGCCTCATACCACAAAGAGTGGCAGAGTCGTGGCACCTAAAATGCTGTCATCGTCATTTGCAGATCCGTTTAAGTAAGTTTATCACTTCATTTCATTGTTCAAGCTTTTTGTTATAGAGACCCGCAGAGCGATGGTAATACTAAAAATAGCAAGCTGAGAACAGATTGTTTCATTTATAATTCAAAATTGTTCATTGGAAGTAGGCAATGCTGCTTCCGTGTTTATGCTTTTTGTTATGTTATGTTCTCTTCTTTTCTTCCAGTGTTTCGATAGAAATATCTCAGGTGTCGGAGAGTGATAACGACGACCTATACGACTCGGACTATGAGCCAAGCTTTACGGTGACAGCTGTACTGTAAGTTTCCTCTGCATAACTATGTTTGTAAAAAACATTTTTCATTTTTATCGAAACTTTTATACTAATGTGTTCTAGTATCTAGTATTCTATACTAACACTATTCTTCTGAGCAAAGCACGCTATAGCATTGCGTGTGTGTTTTCACTAGCACTTGGACTCTTCGTGTGGAATGTCGATGTGAACGTTGCTAATAAAAATAATTCAATAACATTGGACACCAGATTACCGCCTTACATTGTAATGTTGTTAAAAAAGTTTACTCGTATTTCAGACCAGATGAAGTAATAACAGCAACTGCAGAAGTGCCTTTTGAAGAAATGGAGTTTGGCATGGAGGTGCCGGATGATGATGTCGGGGAGGATGACACAACAGAAGAGGTTGGGCCGGCTATCGATCGGGTGAAAACGGAGGATGACTGTACAAGAATAACAGATGACATTGTCTGCCTGTCATTCTTGAAACAGATAAAGACACTGGCGAACACCCATGTTACGCAGTGTACGCATTGTTCCAGCCCTGTGGCAATTGAGGAGAAATTCGTGGGATCAGCGTTGTATCTGAAATGGGTAAGGATTCTCACGCATTTGTTCACATTCAAGATGTATATACTTTTAATGCAGTTTTCCTTTCGACATTTTCGCTGACAGACAATTACGGCAGGCAAGTCGGCAAATTGTACATGAATGCTCTTATGCCCATGTGGGCATCGCTGACCACTTCTTTAACCTTCAAACCGTCAGTTACGAGTTCCCCCATGGCGTCGCTAAAACCCTTCTTTTCCATATTGTTGGAATTTCTGTCCATCGCGTGTTGACCAAATTTCCTGTACAAATAATATTTATTGCCAAACCCTGATTATATATATAGTGCTACAACACTAGTCAGTACACATTTAAGCATCATACGTTGTAACTTATGCTGTACATGTGTTTCATTGCAGATCTGCAAGAACAAGCACCTTGTGCACGAATGGTGTTCACAGCCACTGTTAAATAAACGCTTGCACAGCATAGACTTCCTGATTGCTGCGTCCATTCTGACGTCAGGCAACAATTTTCACAAGATGGCTCTATGGGCGGAGCACTTAAGACTGAAGTTTGTGTCGGAAGCCACGTTCCACAACATTCAAAGATGCTACCTGGTGCCAACAATAGAGAACTTCTGGAGTGACCACCAGAAAGAAGTAGTAGCAGAGATGAAAGACAAGGAGCTTGTTGTACTAGGTATGTGCTACTCACTGATATTGTATTTAAATTGTCATAAATGTTGACTCAGAATACTAGAGACCCACTACTCGTCCATTACTGCCAATTTCAACTTCAGCTGGTTTTAGCTTATTCATAATAAGTAAAAAAATGTATATATGCAGGCGATGGACGAATGGACTCTCCAGGTTATTCTGCCCAGTACTGCAGCTACACTATCATGGAGAGTGAGTCTAAAAAAATACTAACTCTTAAAACACTGGACAAACGAGTGACTGACAGAAAGTCTACGAATATGGAGAAGAAGGGATTTAGCGACGCCCTGGGTGAAGTAATGGCCAAAGGTTTGAAGGTGAAAGAAGTTGTCACAGATGCGCACATGGCAATAGGAGCATTCATGAGTAAGTTTCCCATAGGATTCCTTAACGTTCATTACAGATGTCCTTAGATAAACTGCTATATGAGATGATTGCATTTAAATAACTTAGTAAGAAATGCAAAGTAATTTTAGCCGGTCATTTCTCATGTAATATGTATAAATACACATAAAGAAAATTAAGGATGTAGCTTGTTTTTGTAGTATTATTTTCTGTCTGTAATCTTTCATAGGGACTCAGTATCCTGACGTGAAGCACTCAAACGATGTGTGGCATGTTGCAAAAAATTTGGGGAAGAAGATCATTTCGGTATGTATTCCGAAATACTTCCCAAGTGTCACTAAACTTTACACGCAGTTGTAATTTAAACCTAAATTTCATTACAATGGCAAATAACAATTGCATCTCATTTGTAGTGCATTAAAAACAGCTTCGATGTAATTACTCAAGTAGAATGGATAACTGTTTTGTTACATTTTCTTTTGTGATTGAATGAGTTACATCATACTATGGAGAACATTATATTTGTTTGTGAATTTCAGGCAGGACAACAGAAAGGATGCGAATCCCTGCAGAAATGGGCTAGAGACATCATCAACCATTTCTGGTTTACGTGTCAAAAAGCGCAGACGTATGCCGAGTTCCTGGTAAGTTGTCTTAAAGTTACCTAGACACAGTTTTGAATTGAATGGTGCTTATTGTTATAGGGCTGAAGTGTCTGGTACATGCAAGGGCAAACTATGGTTCGTGGGCCGGATGCGACCCGTGAGGTACTTTAATCAGGCCATCGACACTTTATCGGATCAACAATATGTTGTCTAAATCGAAGCGTTTCTAAAATTTTGAAACGGTAGTGTACAGTACTTGCCTGTGTGTTAAAAATGCTACGCAACCTTCTTCATGTCTATGGTTTCCCTGCAAATCGGTGCAAATGAATGATTTTCATGTTTCATATCAATTTTGCAATGGTTGGCCCCCGGCTTACTTTCTTCCGTTCAATGAGACCCATGGGACAAAAAGATTGTCCACCCCTGGTCTAGTATCATGCTAGAATACGTTTCAGTTATGCCGAATTTATGATTGCAGAACATATGGAGAAGCGTACTTAACCATGTCGTTAATGAGCACCACTGGATTCTGCCCCATGGGCGAGGAACAAACAAGTGCCTGCATGGTCCACTGAATGACGATGAGCGGGACAAACCGTGGCTGGACAGAAAGGCAGACTCCGAAGCGTTGGCAACCCTTGCCAAGATCGTTCTTGACAAACGGTTCCTCAACAGAGTCGGCTACGTGCTGAATTTTAGGTAACGTGTTTGCTTGTGATTGCTTGTAAATTGTGAAAAATTTTAGTTTATAAATTATCATTACGATATACAGATGGCAATAGTTTCTATAATGTACGTCGATGGTTGCTCAATTACAACTGACTTCTTCTTACTCACTCATTTGTGTCCTTTTTTGTGGTGAGCTACAGTGTCATTGACACTTTCATTTCGATGTCTTTTACAATAATATTTTTCTGCCTGGTTAACAGAAGTACATCTGCACTGGAGGTCTTCCATAATCACATACTAATGTACTGTGCGAAGAGGTTCGCCTATACGCCTCCAGTCTATAGGGCACGCAACCTGTTGGCAGCGTTGGACCACAACGTTCATTTGGACAGGCCATTGCTGAAGAATAAGGAGGGCAGCGTTGTGTAAGTACATGTTCTTGTGAGCATAATTGCAATTGCCCTTACTGTATACAGACATATTGACAGAATTGTTGCATTTTTTTCCATATCTTGTACACCTGGGAAGGAAGACTTTATGTGCAGTTAAAAATACTACAGTACAAAACATAATGTTTGCATAACTTTTCTTTAGATACGCACGACATTACAACAAAAAAAGTGGGAGGTGGACGGCTTACCCGCGCAAGATAAGGAAGACATACCCGCACATTAGGACTCTGATTCGCCAGGCATTGCTACGAAGACTCACGGACAAAGTTGGCATGCGCGGCCAGCGTGTTTTGTCAGCTGATGACCCCCGAAGGCTGTCAGCAAATCTCGCTCCAATAGCACCGCCAGCGACAAGTCAGCTTGTGGAACAGCATGTCTCACGATTTGACACTGGAAATTAGAGTTGTGTGGTGTGGTATAACTTTAGGCTAATCTGTCAGCTAAAAAGCCAGTGTATTGTCCAAAAGCATCTGGAAATTTGTCTCTAATTTTCCATACACAGCAAGATGGAATGGTCAATCTATGACCGGCACCTAAACGACCATGCTGCCACAATACGAACTGACGATATGCTGCATGCCGGTTAGCTCTCCGTAGGTCGTCGTCTTCAGCCATAACCAGAACATCTTGTCTATACATTCTAGCTATGGCTAATACACCCTCATCCAGTATCAAAAGACAGAAATCCTGTAAAAGAAATAATAGGCATTAAGTGATTAACCGAGTTATTCGAACATTATTAGGGGTAGAAATGGACTTTTGAACAAGGTAGTCCGTTGGACTAGCTACCCTCAAAAACAATGAGATTGCGGTTAATGTAATTATAGATGATTGATCTGTCGATCGTTTATTTTTCTATAATTTTTCTAGCCGGTTTCAACACCTACTGTCATTGCAGGTGTTGGCAACAATTTTATCACTTGATTTGATTCCGTCATAAATTTTTGGTGAGTATCGGACTTTCTCACGAGAAGCAACAGAAGCTTTTTGGTAACTGGTTTTTCCTTCGTTTCTACTTTGTAAATGTTATCAGATGAAAGTGGAATACTGTATAATATTTCTATACTTAATTAATATAGAAGGAGTTAAAGTTATGTAACTTATGTAGTTAATAATTACTCTGTTAATTAAAATAGTTCATGTATATGCAAAAGTCCTCTTAATACCATTACTTAGGAATTGATTTAGTCTGAAAGTGGTTAGAATTTGTATGCTGCATAGTAATTTGGTAAATAAATTTGTGAAGCAATTGCGTGTAGAGATTAATATTTAGTGTTTGTATCTATGTTTAATAAATGCCGTAGTAAAAATTACCGGTGTTGTGGATAGGCACTGTACCCTTCCACAGCAGACTTTTTCAGTTTCTGTTGGCATGTCCCTACAGTGCGCGCATAGGCACCAGTCAGGAAACGCAGATTGTGGTTCTGGGTGGTACCCGGCCCCTGGCTGGCGCTCTGCCGGCTCAATAACGTTGAAGGCCAGAGAGGGATAACTTTCTACCATCATTAACAGCGTCTCCCTTAAGCTGTCCACCGACATGTGTTGTATGGCAGCCTGGATTGGGATAGTACAACATTACTAATTAATATGCAAATAAATCCATAGAATTTCATAACTAATTCTGAAAACAAACAGTAATTACAGTATGCGTTACTAATGTGTATGTGTACGTGAAAATGTATGTGAATGTGCAAATAAATGCATAAGATTTCATAGCGAATTCTGAAAACATACAGTAATTTCCTACAGTGTATGTGTTACTGCAAAAATGTATGTGTATGTGAAAATAAATGCATACGATTTCATAACTAATTCTGAAAACATACAGTATATAGATGTATGTATATGATATGTGTTACAAATGTGTATGTGTCCATGAAAATGTATGTGAATTTGTATGACTGCAAATAAAAGCATAAGATTTCATAGCTAATTCTGAAAACATACAGTATTGCTATTTATATTATTATTATACTATTACTATTTATATTACTATATACTTGTACTTCTTACATAGGGCCTACGTATATACTTACTTATATGACTATATACTTATATATATACTTACTTAAATTAATATTTATATTAACACTATATATTAGTAATTATTATTATTTTTATTATTATTATTATTATTCTGAATACTATACAGTAATTACATTATGTGTTATACTAGATTACTGAAACTATTGAAGGAACAGGGCCCTTTTCAAGTCTTTATTTATTTATATCCATTTATGAATTTTTTATGTAAAAATGGGTATTTGGACATTATATTCTCAACTACAGAAAGAGTGAGGATACAAAATTGTTGCCACATGTTAAAGCACAATATGGACAAAATAAGCGGCGTTAGGGGCGATTTTTCTTTAATATTTCAATATTACCGAGAAATACTAGGAAAAAACTGGCGCTGTAAAAAGTCAAGTTGTGTCTTAGAATTGAAAATTTCAGCGAATACAAGAGGCATAACTAATAATACGCGGCACTTAATAACCAATCCCTGACCGCACTTCTTTAACAGGCAATCTGTTTACCATTAAAGAGCGAGTGTACAAATTAATTATCCGAGTCTGTAATCACAAGAGCAATTCATTTACTACCCCCTCCCGGCCCTACTCATGTAGAAATCGAAGACACGGAGAAAACTCATCGTCCTACCGTTCTACTTTTCTTCACCACATGATCAACTGCTCTGCAACCACAGCCATTCTACAACCGCAGCACGCCATTCGCTCACTCGGTGGCCCCACCACCCAAACACGCATTCGCGTCCATCTGTGAAGTTTTCTGCACACGTAAGCTGGGATGCAGCTCGCAAACATGTGTGCGCCCTTTACTGACATTACTGGCGATCTGTACATACTAACTCCCACTCTAGTGCATAAGACTCGACTGCACGACATACGGCCTCATCCCTCCTCCATTCAAAATATCTGAGTCTTCTTCTTCCAAAGTCTGGGACCAGTGCGGTAGTTATCAGGCGGGCGCGGGGGGCAAGGGGTCCATCGCCCCCCTGGGTTGATCCCGAAACGGTAAAAAAAAAAGAAAAAGCTCCGTCTCTACCTTAAAAGAGATACTGTCGTAGTCAGAATCCAGAGGCCGCTGTACATGCAACTCCAGCCGCTGCCTCCAATACCCATCTCCTCGCGAGCTCCGCGTACATTTCTCAAAATCGCTTCTGGCACGGAAGAGACGCCCATACCCCCGCTTGTGGTCCTGCACTGCCCGGAGTGCTAGTGCGCTCACTAACGTGCGCTCCTAGTGGAGCTCCCTCGCTGGTAGCTGCTCCTAGTACTACGCGCGGTGAATCCTGGCTGGATCCTGCCCACGAGGCACTTGAAGCGTTTCAATGAAAATAGTCATGCTACATAACATCACCGAACATCCTATTGTAACCTGAACAGCGGCAAAGTTCTTGAATGCTGTACTCATACTGCCCTCTCGGTGTGACGAGAGGCGGGCCTAGATTCAGAGGTTGCCCGGACAGTTTTTTCCTGTAATTCCCGTCCAAAATTAAATCCTCTCATGTGCAAGGCACGACGCTACCCGACGCCGAGCCCATTGCCGTCCACACGCGTAACACGCTAATATATCACCCTACACGTCGTTTAAGTGGTGCAGCGCCGGGGGCGCAGCCCATGGCCCGGCCCAGATAGCGAGGCGCGTGGTGCGTCTTCCACATAGAAGATTTTTGGACGATTTACAAGGAAACTGTCCCGCAGATAATAAGCGGTGAGAGTATATAAATTTTATTAGTGTTTAGAGATCCGTCCCAAATTTCATGATCGATCATGCGGTTGGTTAAAACGAACTGCGATGGATCGATTGCTCATCCGATCACTTTTAGACTTCGGCGGCGACGAACGCGCGGGCACACCCACCCGCCGCCGCCCGCCCGGCCTCACCGCCCCCGCCCCCCGAGCGTACATTCGTCCACCGACCACACACGTGTACATTGCCGCGACAGGCAATTTGACATTCTTGCTCACTCGTGTCAGAGCTAAGTACTTTTACCTAGTCACAGCTAACACTTCAGGATACTGTTAGGCCCCCCCGCTCTCCGCGGAAAGAGTCACCACTCTAAAGGGCAGTTGGCAGCATAAATGCTGCATGCAAATTCACATAAAAAAAAAAAGTTTGTGGTTTATGTACTCGCCTCCGCCGCCCCCCCACGCCCTTTTGCACTACAACCCTAGACTTACATCACCCCTAGGCCCCACAACCGACCCCCCCAAACGAGTAATCATCGGACCGAACGTCGATTAATAAGAACAGACTCCACTATAGATTATAAAAAGTTAGAAATTTGGTAGGTAAATAGATTTCGCTCATATATTTAGCATTATATTTATTGGTGCTGTGGATCGCCACTGAACACTTAATATATCTAGGGAGCAGCAGAACAACAGGAACTACCGTACAAATCGTCCTCTGTTATCAATGACGCCGGCAAACAAAGAATTGGCAGAGCTGGACTGGCGGGACGCATAGGGTGGTGGAGGGGAAGCTTAGGGAACATTAAAATATCTAAGTCTCCACGCCTAGTTTTGCACAGTTCGGCTGTTTTTGCCCCCCCCGCTGTTAAAAACTTCTGGCACACCACTTGGCTGAGGGAACTATACAAAGACGGAGAGAGAAGTCGGATCAAATCGAAAAGCAGTCCGCTGCAACCGGATAGCGTCTATGACTAGTACTAAACTACTAATAAGCCCGCGTTACAGTTGCTGGCAGGCCCTGCACGCCTGCTCGCGGGCTCTGTACTTAACTAGAGCTCCAGTCTGCTGGATTCGCAGTGGAAAAAGTTAGGCAATATGTTGCAAAATTAAGAATGTAGGCTAGAGGCCGCCGCACCCAGCCCGACTTTTACAAACGATGAAAGCGCGATGAAGGCGATGTAGGTGTGCGCGTTCATGTTTTAGACGATCTTTATTCGTTATCGGGTGATCCCGGTTTGTCCAAAATCAAACGCATGTTTGATTTTAGAAGCCGATGAGCCGATGACCGATTTGTAAAAGGCCGCCGCACGCACCTACAATCGCTTTCATCGTTTTTAAAATCGGGCTGGTCGTGGCGGCGGCCTTAAGCATTGAGAATATGAACTGTCGGTAGGAATACCGCATGTCGCGTTATTTACGCATCATTTATTCATTGAAAACGTTTCCACAAGTCGCCTGTCTTCGAGCTCCAATTAAGCATGTTTCTAGCAAGCCAACTATTGTCCTTCATATGCCATCTAGCTGTGACCGAGGAATCTAGGGTGATAGGCTGCCATTACGGAGTGTTCACAACTTGTAATGTTCATTAATGGTTCATAATACACGATATATATATATATTATCTATATATCATATATATATATATATATATATATATATATATACTAATAATATATATATATATATTAATATATATATATATATATTCAGTATATATATATAATTAGTATATATATGTGGTCCATGGCGTCCTATATTTGTTTGTGGTTTA